GAACAGGTCATGATTTTGTGGCTTTGGGAGTTCAAGCCCTGCATTGGGCTCTGTGCTGGCAGCATGGAGCCTGCTTGGGATTCGATTTCTCCCTCCCTCCCTCCCTCCCTCTCTCTCTCTTTCTCCCCCCTCCCCTACTTGTGCTGTTTCTATCTCTCTCAAAATAAATAAATAAATAACTTAAACAAAAAAAAAAGTATTCAGAGTTTGCCAAAGCAGGAATTGCATAATTTTTCCTTCCAGAGTTGAATATGATACTCAGCACAAAAGAGAAACTCAATTCCTAAAGAAGGCAGGCTACCTGGAGTTTGAAAACCTTCCATTCTTTAAGAAACACCTACGATGTACAAAGCACTGTAATAGTTACTGGGGATAAATCCTTAAGCAGTAGAGATTCAATTTCTGCTTTCATATAGCTTCTAGTCCAATGAATGAGACATGAATTCTTCAGTCAGAGAACTGTATGTATCTACAAACTGTATATTCACAAACGTGCCATCAGGTACGTGACTACCTTATCTACTTTGGCAGATGAAGAAAAGCTTCCCAGAAGTTATGACTGAATGGAAATGAGTGTTATTAGACAGACACAATTTGGCAAAAGGGGAAAGAACAGAATATGTGCAAAGACGGTGAAGCAGGAGGAAACATGGTGTACTGAAGGAACTGAAAGGCAGCTAGCCAATATAATTAATCAGAATTGTATATGGGGCAGGAGTGGTTGCACAGATACAAGTTAGGAGGTTATGATGGTTCTCCAGGTTGAGAGATGGATGGTATCTCATCAGGAGGGTCATAATGAAGATAAGAGAAAAGAAGGTAAATTCATGAAGTATTTAGGAGAAAATCAGCATTACAGTGAAGCCAGGCAGACTAGTGTTAGTAGAGTTCTAAAGCTGACAGATCTTGAAATTTTTCAGTTGTGAGACCAAAGAGTTAAAACGCTGGGAATTTAAGCTTATCTGATGCTCCTCAATGAGCCAGATAGCAATTGCAGCCAGGTTTTCTAATACCAGTAACATCTCAGGAAGGGTAATTTCAGGAAATGTGCCAGAAGGCCATGACCAAGACTACAGTAAAGTCAACCAGGTATTTAAAAAATAATTACATATTATAGATCCCACTTCTGAATTGTCAGTTAGAAGGATACCAAAAGATGAAATTACTGAGATTTTCAAGGTACATGCTTGTAATATCACATTACATCACTTATTTTCTCTCCTTTGTACTTGTGTGAAAATAAGATTTCAAGACTTACAATATTAGGAGTTAACATTCACCCATAAATTTATAAAATAACATTTTATATCAGGAAGACCATATTATACCTGACAATATTAGGGGGGAAAAATCAACCAACATTATATCTAAAAGATCCTACAATGTCAGAGAAATGAATGTCATTGTATGACATACAACATACCCAACATCCAAGATGCATAACAGTAACAACTTCGACACAAGTGCTTTTTGTTCCTGAAAATAAAACAAATATACTCCTAACTCTATTCCTTTCCTTGTTTAAGATGACTACAAGTGGAAATTTTTACAAGTATTCTTTCTCTATGTATATATGTATATATACGTATATATATGTATATATACATTTATGTATATATGCTCTATGTAACCAATATAATAAAATTTCTTTTAAGTCCAGTAATAGGCTTAAGGTTAACAGAAGTCTATAAGGTCTCCTTCAAATGGACTAACAACCCCATTTCCACATACCCTGGCACTGGAAATTGATCCTTGGCTCCTCTAGTCCATGAAGCAGAAATTTTAAACGAATGTAAGGAAAAATAATTTCTAATGTTCCACTTAACATACTAGTTCTCATCTATAGGCCCCGGCCTAAACCCTACCCATGGGTGGGCCTTAATACATTCTGAACTCTATTTCTTTCTCTTTCCTTCTTATTACTTACATTTCCATGAAAAATTATCTTCCTTAGCCTTGGGTGGTCCAGTATATACACAATTATTTTCCCATGGGTACTGTAAGGACAACATGGCATGCCTGTAGTTTTAAAATTTTTCTGATATGCTATGTTAAAACATATGGTAATTAGCACTGTGGTCCTACACACAATCACAGAATCCTAAAAGGAACACTACCACAAAAGAGAAACAGCACTGAGTCAAAACTCCAAGCTGAGCAAAGTGTTAAGTCAACAGATGACAAAGACTTATTCATGACCTGCAACATAACTGGTAAAATCTAGAAATGAATGTCTAATTAATGCCTCTATAATCCTTGAATTGTTAGTAAAAATGTCACATCTGCAATGATGGAAGTGGTATATTGAATAACTAATATAGTAACTGATCTCTAAAAGTATCAATAAATCAGTGTCATAGAACTTCAGGGGAGGTAGGGACCTTGGTGAGTATGTAGACCATCCGTTCATTTTACAGATGAGAACAGAGATGAAGAGAAAATGTAACGATATCATTTACCTGATTTCTATAAGATAGGAAAAACTCAATAAATACTTGTAGCATAACAAAACCCAGGCCTGGTTTCCTATCTGATACTCTCTGCACATCTCTAAATTAAAAAAAAAAAAATTTTTTTTAACCTACACGTGGGTTGAAAAACCCATGAATTCTTGAATATAGATCCTAATTGCTGAGACATTAACCAGAGAAACTGTGAAGAAAATTTGTATTTATTGTTTTAATACTGTATATCATGTTACATATTTTCATCCGAAACCCATCATACTATAGCAAACCCTCTAGGCCCACACATAAAAATATAACGTATCAAGTTCATGGGTAATTAGTTTTACAATTTTAAAAATTAAGTTTAAAAGATACAAAATAGGGGCGCCTGGGTGGCGCAGTCGGTTAAGCGTCCGACTTCAGCCAGGTCACGATCTCGCGCTCCGTGAGTTCGAGCCCCGCGTCAGGCTCTGGGCTGATGGCTTGGAGCCTGGAGCCTGTTTCCGATTCTGTGTCTCCCTCTCTCTCTGCCCCTCCCCCGTTCATGCTCTGTCTCTCTCTGTCCCAAAAATAATAAACGTTAAAAAAAAAAAAATTAAAAAAAAAAAAAAAAAAGATACAAAATAGTCTTAATGATGAAGCCAAAAAAGAAAACACAGCTTTAACGATTAGTCAAAGGGAGAAGAGTGAATCCTAGTTTTGCCTCAGCAGTGTCAAAAATACAGAGTGGGAAGATCCAACCTTTTAAGCTTAATTATTATCTATAGGAGCCTCAGGTTTCCTGCATCAATTAGTAAGAGCCCCTACTCCTGCTCTCTTTCCAACCTGCTTCTTCAAGTGACTACCCAACTACTTGTCCGGAGTTCTCCAAACTCCTCAAGCAAACTTAGTAACTGAGAGATTGCTCTGTACCTCTCCAAAAAAAAATGCTTGTATTGTCTTTGGGAATCAGGAAAAAAGGTCTCATTTAATTCCTCTTACTGATGGAAAGACAACATCTGTTGATTTTAAGATGGCCTTTTGAAAACTTCCTATGAGGGGCGCCTGGGTGGCGCAGTCGGTTGAGCGTCCGACTTCAGCCAGGTCACGATCTCGCGGTCCGTGAGTTCGAGCCCCGCATCGGGCTCTGAACTGACCGCTCAGAGCCTGGAGCCTGTTTCCGATTCTGTGTCTCCCTCTCTCTCTGCCCCTCCCCCGTTCATGCTCTGTCTCTGTCCCAAAAATAAATAAACGTTGAAAAAAAAATATTAAAAAGAAAACTTCCTATGAGATGAATCCTTAGAATTTGCTGGCCCTCTGGGACAAAACACTGAAGAGACAGCCAGACACTACCAAAAGTTTTCAAAAAATGGAAGTCAACTGTGTCTGAATACACCCAGACAAGCATTTTCTAGGGACCTCTTTGGACCGAAAAATAAGCATATTCTTTGTGTCATTTGTTGTTTTTAATTTAAAATCTCCCTTACCAATTCAATCTTACCCAATAAGAGACAACACTTTCATAGCATGGTCTTCCCTTTCATCCATAAACAACAAATAGACCATGCCCACTAACTTCCTTCTCTAAATATTTTTATTCCTTTAACAAAACCCTTGATTCTGCTTTATATCCTGCCTGAGCTATTTCTGGGTTTTACAAATTCTTGGATCATCCAAGTTTAAGGCTGGCCCAAGATTACTTTTAGCACTCGGTTGCATGCATGGACACATGCTGTGAAGTCCCTCAACTTATTGTCCCTCTCCATCCGTCACAGACCTCCTGGCTTAATCCCAGCAAGAACTCTTTAGTGGTCTTTCGGATTCCACTTCTTCCCTTCCACACAAAGTCAGGTTAGGATATCCAGAGTTTATTATTTTAAAAGGGCCAAATCTCCAAGGACGGTCGCGAAGGAACTCATTTGGCTATTATTCAGTGCTGCTCTAGACTTGTATTAGAGAACTGAGGTCACCAGGGCCTGCATTTTTGCCTGAGCGTGTGCTCCCTCCCACCAGCAACCCTTTCTAAACCTCCTCCCACAGCTTGCTACCTGTTGGCAGTGCTGGTGTTGCTGCTCCCGTTGCTGTGTTTCTGTGCCCGGGTCAATCTCCTCGGGGGCTTTGAATGCTGCAGCCGCGGGCTCGGCATGGAGGGGAACGTTGAGGCATAGCCATGTTCACACTCTAAAGAGACAGCAAGAAAAAAAGATGTAACAGGAACATACCCAAATCCATGGACCCACAGATCGGAAGTGCCTGCAGTCACACACTGCTGAAAGCAGCTGCAGGAAAAGAGGTAAAAATTTTTCCACTTTTTGGAAGATAAAATTC